CAGAGCATTGCCCCCCCCAACGTTCCCCAATATTCCTGTGTCACTTCCACAGTCACGTAGGCACATCGCTGAAATCCCCAGCTTTCCTCCCTGCTCCCGGTAAGCCCCACCCCTTCCAGTTGCTTGGAGGAGCCTGGCAACCCTGGCAAAGTGACTTACTTTAAATAGTAATTGAACGGCTGCACTTGGGACCAATTGATACTTCAAAGTTGTCTTTAAGTGTTTCTTGTTGCAGTCCGGTCTTTGGGTCATGTTGGTTGACAGTTAATTGTGTTATAATTATAGATATAAATTGTAATTATAACACAATTACAATCATACTCACAATTAGACCCGACATAGGTGCGAATGCTGGGCGGATTTAAAGGGCACGATCAGACAACAACATCTGGGAAACGACCCACAGCCGTCAGCAACCTGTTCTGCTCCGCCGCTGAAGTGGAGTTAAAAGACACCGGGGAAAATCTGGTAGTAAACAGGTTGCGACGGGCCACGGATGGACTTTCCCCGTGTCTGGTCACTCCAGCGTGCTCACATGGCATCGGGATGGTCTGATCAGGTCATCCTGACTCCGTGTCATTGTTTCCCCCGGTTGCAGTATGCGCATCATCGCAAACTCCAGAGGGAGCCCTCGGAGCGGAGTAGCAATTCATCGATCCCTCAGTTAAGCGCATGGGGGGGAAACGGCACAACCCCCCCCCCGACTCACCTGCAGTTGCGTCTGATTACGCACTAACGGGCTGCGCCCACAGCTTCAAAGGGAGAAGTGATCGTGGAACTGCAGGTCAAATTCTTCCGGAGGAAATAGCCTCGCTCCCCTACCCCCTAATTTTCTCTGGCCCGTGTGACCGCAACCTAATTGCTATTATAACTGTTATTATTGTAGCACAAAGTGTGCCTGGTTACTCAGTGTTCTTCCTTTGTTTACTTTGAGAGGTAAGGATTACAGAAGATGCGCCATTAAGTGACAGCTGTCAAGTGGAATGTGGACTTCCTGCATAACTAGAGCTGGCTGACACGTTCCCTGCTCTGTTCGCCTGTGCCGTTCCTCCCACTTTCCCACTGTGCCTCCCCTGATTAAGCTCTGCTGCTTCGTCTCCCAGCTTCTGAAGGGATGTATGGATAGCGTTGCTCACCTCCAGGTGGGGCCTGGGAATCTCCTGGAATTACAACTTATTTCCAGAACCAGAGATCAGTTCTCCAGGAGAAAATGGCTGTTTTGGAGGGTGCACTCTATGGCATTATACCCTACTGAGGTCTCCCCCCCTCCCCAAACCTTGCCCTCCCCAGGATCCAACCCCAAAATCTCCAGGAATTTCCCAGCCCACAGTGGGCAACCTGAATTAGGGGGCAGGTGTCATTTGCTATTAACCTCCAGCCATCAAGATGCTTAACAGCTTGTCGAGAGCAGTGGCTCGCTAGAACATTGCATTGGCTACTAGACCAATGCTCAGGGGCTATTAAGAGCAGCTGAGCGGGTGAAGGGGGCCACATCTGTGTCTCCACGCTCTTTTGAGGGCTCTGAGTTGGATGCTGGCTCTTCCTGGTTCCTCCAAAGGCAGTGCTACGACCAACCACTCTCCAACTTGGAGACCGCACAAGTGGGTGGAGATCCCAGTGTAACCTTCGGACTCAAAAAATTGCCCACTCTCACCCTGAAGTCCTGAGAATTGCCTGTGGCCACCCTTACCATAAGAGAAGAGCAAATTACATCATCGAAACAAAGCTAAGCCAGGAAACGGTTTAAAAACCAAGGGATTTGTTAAATTGCAGAATAAATCTATTTGAGAGGAGATTTACAGCCAGTTCTGTTTACTGCTAAGCTGAAAATACGGGTGGTGTGAAACCTATTAGTCATCAAAGGAGAGTTTTTCGTTTTGGGTTTAGAAACTTTAGGGACGTTAAACTGAGCAAATGGACTGAGATCCAAAGAGAAATAGGCCTAATTCTCCGCCTCCATAGATCTGAGCCTGTGTCTCCTAAGCAGCAGTCCCATTTGCCATATGGTAAATGACTTTTGCAACTGAAGGAACTTTCCAGGATCGGTTTGCAATATGGTTTGGTACCGTTCCAAGAAGAAAAATAAAATAAAATCCCGTGGGAGGCCAGCACATACCTTTTGGTGCATCTAAAGTAGCTCTTTGGATCCTGGCCATAGTTTGCAAATTGCTTGCTTGGTAACTTGGGGAATTCTGGTCTTACAGTGCTATCTTAGGCAGTTATTCCAGTCTTACCCTGAGACTGGAGTAACTCTGCAAAAGACCATGCTGTAAATATCTTGGCTTGCTTTCGGATGTCTTCTAAACTGTGGGTAAGTTTTTGTAAAAGTGCACACACCCTGTCATGGGCCTTACTCACCCTCCCTTGTTCATGCAGAAAATCACAGTTAAAAAAAATGGTGGTTATCTGCAGGGGTCTTTTGGGGACGTAGCGCGCCGGAGTGCCGCTTCGGGAGCCCAGGAGCTGGCAAAATGGTGGTGAAGTGCTGCGGCCCCAGGGAGGCCCGTCGCTGCTTTTGGGGGGGGCGTGCGGGAGCACTGCGGTCCAGAGGAGGCCAGAAGACCCCCCCGCCGCCTCCCTGGGCCAGCGCCGGAGTGCTGCGGCCCAGAGGAGGCCAGAAGAGGGGGCCCCCCGCCGCCTCCCTGGGCCAGCACCAGAGTGCTGCGGCCCAGAGGAGGCCAGAAGAGCCTCCCCACTGCCTTCCTGGGCCAGCACCGGAGCACTGCGGCCCGGAGGAGGCCAGAAGAGCCCCCCCGCCACCTCCAGGGGTACGTGAGGGATCCATGGGGGGGGTGGAGGCTTGAGTTTTTGTCATGGTGGGCAGGACACCAGGCCATACTTGAAGTGAGATGAGCTGGGATTCTTAGCCACGGTTCCTGAACTATGGTTTGGGGTATACAGAAAACAGCACGGTTATGTCGGGGGAAAGGTCAGGATATCGTGAAGGAATGCCAGTTGGCTTTTAAAGCGCCAGTCACTTCGGAGAATCAAAACATGCAAAAGGTTAATCATTTCTTAAAAGGAGATTGACATAAGCAAAGGTTATGATTGCTGTTCTTATCTGGGAAAGCTTAATTCTGCTCCTCTACCGGAATTTGTCATGAGAGGGAAGAATTATTTTTGTAACCGGGAAGATAGCCGTTGGGAATCCAGGTGGCCGTATTGCGGTTGCGATCAGTCGTTTACGACTAAACTAGACGTGGCTTCTGCCATGAGTCAGTACAGGGGGGAGGACAGGCTTAAATGGAATGGGAGGAAGGCTGAAACCCCTGCCCCCCCCCCCCCCCGCTTCTGAGCCAAACGAGGACGTGGAACACTTGGGAACCTTAGTTCCCTGATGTCACAGTCGTTAAGGTGGGTCGGAGAACCCGTTTTGGAGACTGAATTTGGGGGACCCTGAACCAACTTGTGGCAGACTTCATATCTGGTTTGGCCCTTAGGTGGCTTTTCAAGGAGGTTAGTCATCTTCATGGGGGAGAGTACCATCAATGACTGTTACCCATGACAGCTCAGTGGGAACCTCCATGGTTAGAGGCAGTATATCTTTCAATGCTGGTTGCTGGAGTGCAGGATCAGGGAGAAGTCATTGGCCTCTGTGACCCTCCTCTGGGCATTCTGTGCGTAGCCAACAAGATGTTGGATTAAATGGATGACTGTTCTCATTACATGCCAGTCACGATACATGCTTAAGGCTAAATTGTTGTGATGTGTAGTTGGACTGCTCTGACCTGGATGGCCCCGGCTTGCCCAGTCTCATCATATCTCAGAAGCTAAGCTGGGTCGGCCCTGGCTAGTACTTGAATGGGAGACCTCCAAGGAAGTCCAGGGTCGCTATGCAGAGGAAGGCAATTGAAAAACCACCTTTGTTCATCTCTTGCCTTGAAAACCCCACGAGGGGTCACCATGAGTCGGCTGTGACTTGATGGCGCTTTACACACGCAACCTGAGACTTTTGGGGGGATGAGAGGTAAAGGAATGAATGAGACATAAAATGAGAGATAGGGGACTGTGCTCATGAGGAGTATATTTTATTTTTTAGCCAACAGTTGACTTTACAGGCTATTGTGGCAGTACTTTGCCTCTGGGATTCTGCCTACCCAGAAGTTAGGAGCAGGTCTCAGGGGTATCCCTCCTTTGCTCCCTTCTCTGAGGCACAACAGAATTGTTAGATTCACAGTACAAGAATTGTTAGATTCACAGTACAATTCTAAGCCGCGTTGCCCCCTTCTAAGTCCAGTGAAGTCAGTGGCCTCAGAAGGCTCTTTAGGATTGTGCTGTCAGAGTATTAGCCAGTTTGGTGTAGTGGTTAAGTGCACGGACTCTAATCTGGGAGAACCGGGTTTGATTCCCCCCTCCTCCACTTGCGCCTGGCTGGATGGCCTTGGGCAAGCTGTTGTTCTGATGAGCTGTTCTCTCAAGGACAGCTCTGGAAAGAGCTCTCTCAGCCCCACCTACCTCACAGGGTGTCTGTTGTGGGGAGGGGAAGGGAAAGGAGTTTGTAAACCGCTCTGAGACACCTTTGGGTGGTGAAGGGCGGGGTATAAATCCAATCTCTTCTTCCTCTTTCCTCCTCCTCTCCTTCTCCTTCTCCTTCTCCTTCTCCTCCTCCTCCTCCTCCTTCTCCTCCTCCTCCTTCTCCTTCTCCTTCTCCTTCTCCTCCTCCTCCTCCTCCTTCTCCTCCTCCTCCTTCTCCTTCTCCTTCTCCTTCTCCTCCTCCTCCTCCTCCTTCTCCTCCTCCTCCTTCTCCTCCTTCTCCTTCTCCTTCTGTGATCCTGTAGATGGAAGACGCCCATATACGGAGTGAACAAGGCTCAACCTCAGTGAATTGCTTGTGGAAAGAGGTGGGGATTGGATTGTCAGTCTCCTCACGACTCAGATCTTGCCGGCTTCCGGTCTCTGATGACCCAGCTGGCTGGCAGACAGTTATCCCAACAGAAGCCATTAAGGACCGTGTATATTTGTAATGCTCCAAATCTGTTTTTGTTTTGTTTTGTTTGCAGTGTATCTTCTGGGTTTGATGGTATGAAGGAGCAGGAAATCTGCAACAAAATCATGGCCCAGATGCTGGAAGACTATACCACGTTGTTTGAGTGGCAGCTCACAAAGGAGGAGACAGAAAAGCACCCATGTGAGGAATTAGCAAAAATTATATTGGTGAAAGTGAGTGTTTCTGAGAGAGCTGTTTTTTTGTTTTGGTTTGCTTTTGGATCTTTTTCTCTATGGTGTGTCTCGTGCTATGAGTTGGATCCCATGGATCTGTTCTGCCATGGAAATTCTTTCCTCCAGCTGAAGAGGCATCTAAGGAAGACTCCATCTGCCTCAGAGGAAGGGTTCTTCCTCTGGAGAGAAACCCTTCCTCTGGTGGAATGGATCTGTTGGAGCCAGTTCTGTTTATCTATGCGTTTTTATCCCACCCTTTCCTGAAGGAGCTCAGTGCAGAGTATATAGTTCTCTCTGTCAACTTCCTCCTCACAACCTTCGCATGAGGTAGGCTAGGCAAAGGGTGACTGGTCCAAGATCAACCAGGGGACTTAATGGCCGAGGGCCAAACGAGACATGATGGCTTCCTCATGGCCACCCTTGTTTCCATTTATTTATTTATTTTTTGTTTCTTTTTTATTTATTAAATTTAAAAAAAACAGTTAAAAATAAGAAAGTAGATCCTGATGTTTATGTAGAGCAAACAGGGAGGTGTCAATTTTATGTGCTGCTGACGCTTCTAAGAGGGGCATCCATTTTTCTTGGAGATTGTCAGGAACGGGTTAATTTTCAGATCGAAGGATACTAGTGGAAACTTTGTCTTGTAGACTTGTTTCCATTTAAGTGATTTTAAAATGCTGCAGCTCAGCACTCTTATTCCCCCCCCGGGGGGGCCTTTTCAAGTGCCAAAATAGCTGGGGGGGATGAGGTGGCAGCCATTTTGGCAATTGATAAGGCATCGAGGAGAACAAGAGTTCCTCAGCCTGCTGTGGTGTGGGCATTTTAAAATCACTTTAAAATGGCAGCAGCCTCCCCATGGCAGCCATCATGTCTAATTCGACCCCCAGTCTTTTGGTCCTTCGTGTAACCACCACACCACATGGACACCACATAATATCATGCGACTGTGAGTTCTGTAGAGGTTTCTCTTTGTGAGATGCAGGGATGGCACAGTGTTGCCTATGGTTGCCTGTGGTTTGAAGCTGGTGCTGCAACATTACTGGTGTATTTATACATCATTTTGCTTTCTCTTTGACTGGGCGGGGGACAAATTTCCTGTCACAGTTGTTCATTTCCCATCTTCTTGTGCAGCCCCGCATTAGGACTGCGCTTGCACAGGCCAGCCGCGAGACAATTTTTTTTCTAGCTCAAAAACTCCAAGGAGGGGGTGCCCCACCCTTTCCTGGAGCCAACGCATGCACAGGATTCCCATCCAATGCATCACGTGCCCCATTGGGTGGCGCCCCCTTCCCTCAGTTCCCTTTTCACCACCGTGAATGGTCTATCCTGCAAAAATATGTCAAGGCAATTCTCGACACCTGAGGATATGGACCTGTTTGCCACGGCTGAGTCCAAGAAAGCACCAGAATTCTGGTCTCTAGTGGGCAGTGATCCAGCTTCTCTGGGAGATGCATTCCAGATCCCATGGTCAGGCACACTCTTTTATGTGTTCCCTCCCTTCACTCTCCTAAACAAGGTTATAGGGAAGATGGTGGCTGAACAGACGGATTGTATCCAGGTACATAAGAACATAAGAGAAGCCAATGTTGGATCAGGTCAATGGCCCATCCAGTCCAACACTCTGTCACACAGTGGCCAAAAATACCAAGTGCCATCAGGAGGTCCAGCGCCCACTGTTGCTCCCCCCAAGCACCAAAAATACAGTGCACCACTTGCTGCAGACCGAGAGTTCCTATCTGTACCTTGTGGCTAATAGCCACTGATGGACCTCTGCTCCATATGTTTATCCAGTTCCCTCTTGAAGCCGTCCGTGCTTGTAGCCGCCACCACCTCATGGCAGTGAATTCCATGTGTTAATCACTTTGGGTGAAGAAATACTTCCTTTTATCGTTCTAACCCGAGTTCTTGTATTGTGAGAAAGGGAGAAAAGTACTTCTTTCTCTACTTGCTCCATTCCACGCTTAATCTTGTAAACCTCTATCATGTCACCCTCAGTCATCGTAGCTCCCTTCGGGCTCCACCAGATCTGGTTCCTCAGAGCTGTTCTGCTTAGCGGGCATGGACCACATACCGTTCCCTCCCACCCCAGACCTGCCGATGCACGGTCCACTGTTGCACCACAATATAGTGCGGCTACACTTGACGGCATGGAGGAACCGACCATAGAGTGCTCCTTCTCCCAAGGGGTACGGGATACCTTGCTTCAAGCCTGTAAACCTTCAACCAGCTATTCTTACGACAGGAAGTGGGCTTGATTAAGGTCTGGACGCCTTCTAGACGTGAATGCCCTTTTACCTGCCTGTTATCATTGTTTTTTGAACACCTGTTGTCTTTAGCACAGGCCGGTTTAGCGGTGTCTGCAGTAAAGGCCCACCTAGCGGCTATTGCTGCTTTTCATGAGGAGCTGCAGGGAAGGACTGTTTTTGCTCATAAGTTGGCTCAGTGTTTTTTAAAGGGGCTGAAGGAAAATACTCATCATCATTTGAACCTCTCTCCCCTTTGAGCTATGCGGGACGGATCTTGTTAGATTCCCTTGCCCTTCCCCCTTCGCTTTCCAGCCCCTCCAGGCCGTCTGTTCTGTCACTTTACCGCCAGCTGTCATTGCGTCCTGCAACCTAATGCCACCTTTGGGCAGCAAACAACCCTCGCCTTAGCTGAGGAAACCTGATCTGAGAGGATTACAGCTGCTGCTGCTGCAGCCTTTGCCATCCTGACCTTTGGGAGTGCACTGCCAGTCCGTGAGTTCCACTCTGAGTTGAACTTGTGAGACTCCTGAAGCCTGGTAGTTTGAGAAGCTGAAGACCTTATTAGTCTACTTACGTACGTTGCTTATTCGTTTTTGTTTTATTTTACACATTTTATATCCCACTTTTCTGCCCTGGTGGCTGACAAATGAAAACATACGTAATAAAAGCACATTTTAAAACCAAACCCCCCCCATCATTAAAACAATTAAAAACGGAACTAAAATAAATGCGATGGCATATCAACAGCAATCCAAACATCAGTCGGACCTTCACCTGCTGACAGAAGATGGCAACAAAAGGGGACAGGTGAATCTCTCTGGGCAGAGGGTTCCAGAGTTCTGATACCACGACAAAGAAGGCCCTCACCTTTGGGCAGCAAACAACCCTCGCCTTAGCTGAGGAAACCTGATCTGAGAGGATTACAGCTGCTGCTGCTGCAGCCTTTGCCATCCTGACCTTTGGGAGTGCACTGCCAGTCCGTGAGTTCCACTCTGAGTTGAACTTGTGAGACTCCTGAAGCCTGGTAGTTTGAGAAGCTGAAGACCTTATTAGTCTACTTACGTACGTTGCTTATTCGTTTTTGTTTTATTTTACACATTTTATATCCCACTTTTCTGCCCTGGTGGCTGACAAATGAAAACATACGTAATAAAACCACATTTTAAAACCAACCCCCCCCCATCATTAAAATAATTAAAAACGGAACTAAAATAGATGCGATGGCATATCAACAGCAATCCAAGCATCAGTCGGGCCTTCACCTGCTGACAGAAGATGGCAACAAAAGGGGACAGGTGAATCTCTCTGGGCAGAGGGTTCCAGAGTTCTGATACCACGACAAAGAAGGCCCTTGCCCAGGTTGCCACCTGCCTCACCTCAGAAGGCAGGGGAGCCAGGAGTGGGATCTCTGAAGATGACTGTACTCTTTGCGTGGCTTTATTAGTGAGTAGGCAGTCCTTCTGGCATGTTGGTCCCAAACCATCTAGGGTTTTAAAGGTCCACACAAGTCAATTTATGCCCTGCCTTCCTCCCCAGTGAGAACCCAAAGCAGCTTAAATTGCTCTTCCATCTTCTGTTTTATCTTCACGGCCACCCTGTGGGGTAGGATAGGCTGAGAGAAAGTGACTGGCCCAAGGTCCCATGGCAGACCCTGCAAGTATTGCGGGTCCCACCTCTTGTATTATCTATATACTATTAGCCACCCGGAACTGTGATCTGCGAGTATCTAAACCCACAGATTGGGGCCATGGGGAGGTTAAACAGATTTTTCCACACACTTTGGGGACTCCCAGGGGGTGCAGAAAAATCTGAAATGATTACATTTTCCCTA